AGAGACCTCAAGTCGACGAAATGAGACATGTATTCAATGACAGTAATACAATTAATGGAAGGTTGTGTGGATGCGAACCCTATGCCTTGCATTATCTCGAAAATAGTACGTTTTTCGGCTTAAAAACGCAGGATCTATTCAAAAGGAACTATTCGGGTCTTGCTGTACGCATCAAAATCTTTAAGATCCAATTTGTCCCGTATCGATCTACAGACCTGCCACCGTTCCAGTATCGAAGCCTAGCAAAATGTTTGTATCCACTTTATTTATTTTAGAAAGAAAAACAAAAGTGGAGAAAACGATTCGCTAACCTCCCGTGAAATTCTGAATCCAACGGTACCCCATTCGTGGTATTTGAGCATGACAGGAGCTTATATTTGGTACAAAACCGATTTCGAGCCTTACTGTAATAATATGTATTTACAATATATATATGTATTTACACTGTTTTATAATATATGTACGGATTATTGTCTGACAAAATTGGACTGTAGCAAAAAGTTTTTGGTTAGCAATATTAGAGTGTTTTCAATTTTTACGCTTATCTTCCACATGCCGGTTTACACTGTTTTAGTGTGCTAGTTTATCAAAGAAATATTTTCTTTGATCAATTTAAAGGAAAATAAATCTAATTCAATTGTTTTTTTTCTTTCGTAATGGACATTTAAAGATATAAAAACTTTTCTGAAATAGGTAGGAAAGTCGTGTGAGTGGACTTTGACTGGATTGAATTTTGATTGTGAAAAAATGAGGCTAACCTCTTAGGTTCTATGCCTGGTATGGAAATACAAACCATTTCCATTTGGATATTTAAAGTTTCAATATTTCAATTTTTTGTGAAACGACCATTTTTTTAAAGGCACTGTGCGTCATCTAATACAAACAAATATAATAAAAATATTTATTAGAAATATATTTAATCCCTTCAGATCAACAAGAGACATGTCTGTGTATACAACTTTAAGTCCTTGTTGAGATCCTAGAATTTCATCGGAATGCCAACTAATGAAATTCCTCTAGGAGACAGCTCAGAAAACATCTTCAGCTCTGTCCTCGAAGTGATATTTCTAAATCATCATATATACAATTATTTTAATTTAAGATAATATGGGGGTTTCAATTTAAAATCAATTTATTAAATTACAATATTTTTATTTAAATTTTAAAATAATTGTTAAATTGTTAATTGTTACATAAACAATGCAACCAGTACAATATAAAAAGAAAACACAATATAAAATCATAGATAGCTCTTAGTTACCAGTAAAATAACTGTTCTGCTTTTTTATGGAATACAGTTTTGATTGAATCCATCTTAAAATAAATAAATAAAATAAAAACTATATATATAATATATTTACCTATGTCGAAATGACTTATGCGAGCAATGTCAACATCATCGCTCTAAAAAAGTTGTCTGGGAAGCTTTTCTACCACTCGTAGGTCCTGCAAGGAAATTTGGGCTGGAGGTGAACCACGAGAAAATCAAATACATGATGACTGAAGAGACACGCAATGAGATGGTGACTACCGATTTGAGCAAGTCACCGAATTAATTTTTCTAGGTTCTATGGTAACACAGGACAATAGCGCAGAAACGGAAATTAGGAGGAAGATAATTTAATAGATTCCATCGATAATTAAAACATAAACATAACCTCAAATACATATACTGAATCATAATAACTAAATAACACTTTAGAAAATTAAATTAGTGAATAATTAGATAAATATATCCTACATTATCCATTTACAATTAGTGTGGGGAGTTTTGACTTATCCATGCTGTATTGAAATTCTCGCAAAGGAAAGAAATAAGAGTTTAAATACAGTAAAAAGTGCCAGAGATTTAGTTTCTATAATTTTTACTATGTAATTCAATCCTTACTTATTCATAGATTAAATTTATTTACTTTCAAATATCTCTTTGTGTATATTGCTCACAGACTGGAGTAATGAGGTTCAAATAGAATGGAGATATGAGGTTTTTATTGTTTACCGTTGATATAATAAATATGGTTTCTGTTATTTTGGTCTTAATGAGTTTTTGCATTGATAAATTCTATTGAAAATCACAAATGTGTTCTTTAAGGTTTAGCTACATTAATACGCTTATAAAACATTTTGTCATTGACCAATGTTGCCAGACTATAGTTTCTGTTCATAGTAAAGCGGTAAGTGAAAGTTGTGTGATGCGCGCACCAAATTTTTTATCACTAGTAACAATGTATGTTGGTTAATTATTTCAAATAAACATTATTAAATGTACTTTGGAGAAAGTATTTTCTAACATACTGCATTTATGCCCTGCCAGAATATTTCAATAAAAATAGTATCTTCGTAATAGTAAAGATCACTAAATTTTACATTGATGTAACGAATTCAATCAAAATCGTTCAGAACCGTTTTGAGGAAATTTTGTTAATTCGATTATATAAAGTGCCACTTCCGATTCGTCTTAGTTGCTGTCGTACCTCGCAAGCATACACCTACTTTAAATACTTAATTTCAGTTTCGTACGACTATAATTTCTTGTAAAAAATGTTGGCTGTAGAAAATACAAAAACGAAACGGTGCGGATACGGGAGACAAATTTAGACATGAAAAAGGCACTTCTCATATAATAATTTAATTTACATACAACATTTCATCTCTTTAACATTGAAGTATGCAAAGGGACGAAACGGCTTGGAAAAGCTGCAATGTCAGCTGAATTTACCCCCTCTCACTTCTATGATATTGTTTTACATGGAAAAACAACCATAAATATTGAACATGAGCAAATTCGACCAATTGGGGGAAGCTGGTGTCCAAATGTACAAGTGGGGGCACACCATCATTGTTTTACTCTCACGAATAATACAATTGTTTTATTGGATTTTCCACCAAACTTCGTGGTAGTAGGCACACCAGCAAAAATTAAATTTTATTACAGGATTATTTAAAAGTGATTATTTTTTTATGGTTTATTATTATAATTTTATATTTTATTTTCCTCTACTATTTTTCATAGTAGCAGACTACTTATTACAGTTGCAAACTACAAAATGTCACCTTTGGATCAAATAGAATAAACATGGAAAATTATTACATAAGACCTTTGGTAATAACCAAGGTCAATAAAACTACCAGGTTCGCTCACTCAGAAATGCGTGGTGGGGGAACTTGAAGCGTGACGTAAGGAATAGACTGCGAAACCTACCTATTACTATTTCAAGCCTATCAATGAAGACTTATTTCAACATTATTGTGCTTTTTTGTTTGTTTTCTAGTTTAATTTATTGAGAAGAATACTTTTCTGTGTTTTTGACGTTTGATTGAAGATAATTTCAAGCAGATAAATAAATAAATACGGCTATCAATCTAGAATAAAATGCTATGAAAATTACAGGCCAGACCTAAAACGAAAAGAACGAAATTGATATTAAGGTTGTTTTTAAATTTTTTATTTCAAAATCTCTGTAAATAATATACAAATATATTACATAAATAGAAAAAACTAAGATTTATATATATTTAGAGAACATTTTAGCACAATGTTTGTGTAATTTTGTTTATAGACCTCCTGGGTATTTCTTTTAATATTATAACGATATTATAATAATATTATAAGGGTGAAGATTTCTGTCAGGATTTGCAGTCAAAATTTCTTTAAATAAATAAATTTAATTAAAAAAATAAACAAATTTTACTGCAAATCCTGATAATTTATTTTCACCTTATAACAGTCAACTACTTATCCGTCTCTAAAATAATATTATAACGAGTATTTATTTTTTATGTTTAATAACACGTTACAATGAATTTGTTTGTTCTTATTAGTATTTCTTGTTTTCTCATAATAACATAATTATTAATAGAATCCCATAGAATGCCAGGTACAAAATCCGCAATTGCATCTTGCAACAATAATCTAATTGACACAAAGAAGATGAGAAAGAAAATTACATTTCATACTTTTCCAAAGGACGCTCGAAGAAAAGATTGGATTTTAAAATGTAAAGAAAACAAATATTGTAAAATAATTTATTATCTTTTTCTTAGGTAACAAAATGTAGAAATTAATGAAGAAAGCCTTTCTTTCAGTAACGGGTATTTAATAGAATCAAATTTTTAAATACCCAATGATTTTTACAACAATTAAGAAAACATAAAATCAAAGCCAAAAAACTTGAGAAAAATCACTACATAGGATTACTTACGACATAAAAATGTAATATTTACAAAAATTCACGGAAAGAAAACGCTTCTTTAATGTTAGATTAAATACTTTTTTTTTTTCAATATTTCTATTATTTTATATTATTCTCTGTATTTATTTGAAATATTTAAAAAGTAGTATTGTGGTACTTTGCAAAAAATCATACAGCAACTTGTTAAATTACACTTTATTTGCTTCAGAATATATCAAATCAAACTTTCTCTCACCTTTCAAATTTATTAAAATTAATAAATTTATAAGTTCTTTGGAAATATACTATTGATTTAATGTATACAAGTAAATAATAACCTTAAAATGTCCAGAAACAAAGGCCGGAGGGGTAAAATCAGTCTTTAGGCTACGTCAGTGCTCAATTCCTCCCCACCATTTTCCCTCTGAGTGAGCAAACCTGGTAGATTTACTGACCTTGGGCAATAACAGTAGCTATGTTTCTTTCAATATCTATATTTCTGTAGCTATATGTTTTTGAACATGAATATATCGATATTTTTAATCACAATTTTGGTTCACGTTACTTAGTGGAGGTTTTATATGGCCGCAGAGCAAAAAGTTCACAAATCCCTGAATATGTGAATTGTCAGCAAGTGTTAACAAGTAATTAAAATAATTTTTGAGAAGATCAATTTTTATAAGATTTATTTTTAAAAATTATTTACAGTAAAATATTTATTTAAATGGTATTGAACTAAAACATAATGTTGATAACAAGAAATTAATTATGAGAAAATACCAATCGTTTGGTTATAATATAATTCACAAACAAGTTGTGTTAAAAAAACTATCAAGTGAAGTTTAACTGTCGTTTTCATAATCTTCAGGATTTTTTCTATTCATTTCATCATACTTCTTTTCGACGTAACCATGAAGCCACCAAGCAAAACCACCATCTAAAAATAATATTAATTGCATTTCCACCATTTGAAATAAATGTAATAAAATATAACTTTCAATATTACTTACTTGGCACTATGTGTACCGCTCCTTCAATAAACCTTTGCATTGCTCTGGGTATCCGCTTTAAAGGATTATGGAATGCTTTAAGTTCGAAGGGACTTAAAGTATATGATACAATGCCCCTAACGAAGACGCCCAAATTACCAAACTCTACGTGTCTAAGGGGATTCGTCAACTTCATGTTTGTTTTTAAAGCAATAACTATTCAATAATACTAAATATATAAGAACTTATTAACACATACGTTGTGTACACAATAGAGCTCAACACAGTAAGTAAAACAAGTGAAGTTGACTCTATAAACTCATAAACATATATATTAACAGGTGACACAGAGTTAAAAATAAAAAAATAAAATAACCATTCAGTTACACTAATTTTTCAGATTGGTACAGCCAAAAAGGCTTGCGATCATCATATTTACATGTAAACTATTATTACTGTATATTTTTACTTTCACTTACCTATTTATGTAATATATAGTAAGGTAAGTATTACGATCGTAAATATTTTCGAGTCTGAGTTTTCAACAGAAATACACGTTTTGAGCTACCCTGAGTCACGGGCGGATCTACGGGAGAGGGGCTTCGGGCTGAAGCCCTTCCCAAAATGGTAAAATGTAACCATGTTTTATGAAAAAAAATATTAAAAAATTATCTCTTAAAGTATTATTGTTAATGTAATCACATTTAAAAGGACTTTAGGAATCACTTAAACACCATTTCATGTAGGAAGTTAGTTTATTTATTTTTTTCCAAAGTAATTATCGTTATTTTTATGAAAAAAAAGCTTTCTGGCTGAAGCCCCCCCCTCCCAAAAAAAAATTAAATCCTGGATCCGCTAGTGCCCTGAGTCCAAATAACCAAGTCCCGAAAAATGGTCTGTATGTCTATGAACACTAGCTCGAAAACGAAGTCGTGAGAAACTGATATTATGCATTTAAGATAGGTATATGCCTTAGATGTCCTAAGAACTTTTTTTCTTAAAATCGACTAATCGGAAGTGCCGCCACTTTATATCAACGCTGAAACACATTTTTACAATTTTCTCAAAAACAGATCTAACGATTTTGATTAAACTCGGTTTATTATTGTATAATTAAGTGGTCTTTAATATCATTTAGGTCTTATCCCCGTTGATGTCACTTTACGTGGCTTAAATGCCTAATGTTCAAATATGTCTTCCTCTAAAATGCCTATAATATGGTTCATTTCAAATAATTAACTATCTTTCAATATTAAACGTTACGAAAAAATGCTAAATATAACTTTTGAAAGAATTTGATTATTGAATAAAGGAGAAAAAAATAATAATGCTGATCAAGGTCGAAAATGAATCTCCAGAAATACTAGTCCGAAGATATAATATATTGTTGGATACGTATAATATATTGTTGGAAAGCAGAGAATTTTAGAAAAAACAATATCTAATATAGAAAGTTGTAGAAGGTATCGGAGAGTGACGGAAAAAATATAAATTATAATTTCAGAAAATAACATTATTTAACGTAAATCACATGTTTTCAAGGAAAATGAAATTTACTAACTAAATGTAAACTTTTATAATATTTTTAAGTTTGAAAAAGTATTTAAAATCCATCTAACCAAAGCAATGACATTGTTAAATAAACTATTTCATTGTACTTGTGTGGAAGAAGTAAAATATAAAATCATTTTATAGAGGTATAAGGCATATATTTATAACCTTAAATACATTTAGTGTAGTTTAGTGATTATAGATCTGAACTTATATTTAAATAATTAGGTATCAACGTTTATTCCGAAACATTGTCATGTAATGTTTTAGAAAATCAAACTAATGAATAATTTAATGAATTTTCCCTTTATGAAATCCCAACATTATCATGTCTTCCACCAAAGTACCTTTAATTGGTTTATTATAAATAATAACTATTTATCATTAGGAGTTATGGAAAAATGCTAAATATAACTTTTGGAAGAATTTGATAATTAAATAAAGGAGAAAAAAATAAAAAAATGTATCCAGGTTGAAAATGAATATTTGGAAATAATAGTCAGAAGGCATGTATAATATATCATTGGAAAGGGGATAATTAAAAAAAAAACAATATGCAATAAAGAAAGTTGTAGAAGGTAATGGAGGGTGATGAAAAAAATATAAATAATAATTTCTAAAAACTAATATTACTTAACATAAATCAGGTGTTTTCAAGGAAATTAAATGAAATTTTCTTACTAAATGTAAACTTAAATTTTTTTTAAGTTTGAAGAAGTATTTAAAATCCACGGATTCAAGGCAATTACATTATTTAAGATACTATTTCATTGTACTTGTGTGAAAGAAGAAGTGAAATATAGAAATATTTCATGGACATGTTTATAACCTTAAATATATTTAGTGTATTTTGTTAGGATTCTTGAATAACTCTAGATCTGACATTATATTTAAACAATTAGGTATCTATCGTCTGTTTATTCCGAAAAATCATTATGTAACCTTTTAGAAAATTAAATTAGTGAATAATTTGATACATTTTTCCTTTGCGATATTCCAACAGAATCCACTTACAATCAGTGTGACAACTTTTGACCTGTCTATGACAGACAATGCAAATCTCTTAATCCAGTTTTAGTAAACTTTGAAATGAAAAATAACAGTTTAATAACTAACAGGCGTACAATCCATAATCAACGGATCGTACAATCCATAATCAAGAGATCGTACAATCCATAATCAATGAATCATACAATCCATAACCAATGAATCATACAATCCATAATCAACTTGTGATATAATAAATAGGACTTTATAGTATTTATGATCTGCTACCTGCAATCATTGAGCTTTAGCTCAGTTGGAAATGCAATTCAAAAATTTTATAACAGCCCAACATGGCCAGAAAACAATTTCTATTCAAAGTTTAGCGGTAAGTGAAAGTTGTGTGTTGCGTGCACCAGATTTTTCAACTAGAGGATGGGTATACATCATATTGATATTATCAATACTGTAATTGTCAGTATTGCCAGGGTCAGGCCTTCGATTTAAAAATAACTGGATAAAGCACTGTGCAGTAGTAGAGATGGGTGATAGTCGATATTTTTTAACTATCAATAAAAACTACCGATAGTATCGATACTTCAATAACTTCCCACTACAGACTTAGAGTGTAAAGAGAATTTATTTTTATTATATTTTTATATATATTATATCTTTAATTATTTGCATTAAAATGCTGCATAAACTTTATAATGATTAACATTTATATTGTATAAATTTTTAAAGATTTATGTTAAGGCACTAATAAAATTTCTTAAATAAGTAATTTAAAAACATTATTTACGGAAAAATACATTTTTGTAGACATATAAATTGCATATATTTCCCTGATTGTTGAATTCAAACAAGAAACATCGATGACATATGGGTAGTGTATTTTTAACTATTTAGTTAAAAAACGAGGGGAGAAATGTCTTCCAAGATTCTAATTTTCTAAATTTAATTTGATAATAGCACCTAGTTTAAAATATAATAAAATTGTAATGGCATCTTTGTAGATTTTATAAATATATTTTTTTATGAAAAAAAAAAAAAAAGTTGTGGTAAATTAACATTTATTTTCCATCGGCACAACTGGAGTTGTAAAAATATTTTTAAGAAAGCAATTTAAGATTGAATTATTTTTTACTTTGAAGGCTTCTTCTTGTTCAATTTTGTTTCAGTTTTATGTATTGATAAGAATAGTTTTAAATACGCCTTAACACTCCTATATATTTATTTTCTTAATGTGGCATTTCCACTATACAATAACCATTTTCCATTATCAAACATTCAACTGGCTGACACAGGTGCCAAAGAAGACTGTACCATACTTCCAGAACCTAAACTTAACACGGTGCTATAAGACTTCAATGCAGTCTAGTTGAATCATTGCAAAGAAGCATGACGCGACTTTTGGTTCAAGGTTCCAAAGACCAACAAAATGAAGATGCAGGACCACTGCCTCAGATAATAGGAAACCGTTATAATTTTTAGACTCAGAATAGGACACACTACGCGGACCCACGGGCACCTCCTTGAAGGAAATCCTTCTCCAAGATGCAGCAGTAAGCTACACATTTGTTAACCATTGAACACATACTAGAAAATTGTCAGCGCTTATGTTCTTCAAGAATTTCACTAAGCCTTTGGAGCTTCCGTCAAGCCTTGAAACAGAAAAATCAGAACTTAGTACAATTTTTGAAGAACAATAATCTTTATAAACTAATTTAAATTATATATCTAGAACATGGTGCCTCTAACCTTTGTTGTTGTACATGGCACCCTAAATTTAACTAAACAAATAAATAAACACTTACTGTAGAATATGTTTTGTTTTTTTTAAACAAATTACTTGTATAATATGATATATTCTCCTTATAATATGCTGGATAACTTTTTCCACAATTCTCAGTATTTTACAGCAGGGATATTAAGTCACCAGTAGTGAAGGAAGCTGAACCATTTTCTGCTCTCTCTATTGCTTTCAATAAGGTAGAGCTAGCTCTTTTTAACATTAAAGAATCAGCCTAGTTTTATTCCCTTAAGTATAATTGTATTTCTCCTAACCATTTTATCGTTCCTCTAAAATTAAATGTTTTGAATAGTTTATAAGTTGGCAGGTATTAAAATGAGAAGTATTAATTTTTGTTTTTTGATGGAAATTTTCTTATATAAGACTACTTATGGATAAAATAAAATACAAAGTGTATAAAATAAACTATATGGTATTTACAAGTAATCAAACATACAACACTAATAGTACAATCACAATAACAATAGGGCAGCCACAATAAACGTTTTTTTATTTAACATCTATTTGCAATTTTAACTTTTATGAATATACTTTTTACAAAAAAGTTAAAGATGTATTTGGTTTTGTTCACATTTAGTAGTTCAAATAGATTTTTTTCAACAAGATTCATTCAGCAGTAAATAATCAAAAGAAGTGTAAATTCATCAAATCTGCTTATTTATTTTATTAATTGCCTAATGGACAATTATAACTCTGTAACAGTACTGTACATCCGAGTATACTAGCCCTAAACCAGATAAATTTGGGCACCAGGACCTAAAAAGAGTATTCAGGAGAAGGTTCGAATACACATTACAAAAGTGTATGTTATTTTAAGGAAAATTAACCATATCTGTCATTCTAAAGTCCCTGATTTCAAACAAATCAAATCAGTGATCTGAGGTTTTAGGAGCTTATGTTGAACTGAAATGGAGGAAGTTATGTGGCAAAAATCTTGTAGAAATATCTATTTTTTTATTTGTATAACACAGACCATCTTGAGAGAAGTTTTAACTGCAAAAAAAAAAAAAACTGAATGTAGAATTTTTTTTGGCTACCATTCCTGGATACTAATCCGCAACTTAGTCCTTTAGTTAAGCAGTATAGTGCTATGTTCCTGGCCTCGCGTTTCTATGGCGAGTAGGGGGTTCCAAGAACCGCATTTATTTGTATTTAATACTTGTATTTGTTTTTATATCGGTCCCAGAAGGGAACCGATCAACTTAAAAATATATTAATTATGTATTTAAATGTTAGATACCACAGACCCTCTACTGTAGTATCCTAGATTGAACGATATAATTTTGATTCAATTTCTTTTCTAGAGGTATCGTGTTTTTAAATTTACTAGTTGTTTCTATTACTAATTGGTGGCATGCAGGGTAGATGGTAAAAGTACTAAGATGGTTTACTAACTAATATATTTACAAATTTAAATAACCAAAACATATATACAATGATATTAGAGAATCATACAAGAGGAGAATGCTATATACAAAATGATGCCTAATTATTGGTTGCCAACACGAGTTTACACCCCCAGCTTGAAGTGTCCTAGTCTGAGTCCCAGTATCAGTCCATATCTTGCTCTCTCCGCCTCTCCTAATCAAGTGTCTTCCTCAAAACTCTAACCATCCTAGCTTCCAGTCACCCCCCTCTCATTTTGTACTTTTTCCTGATTGGCTGAATAGTCCTAGCCTAAGGGATGACCATGCCCTCTCCCCCAGGCCAAGGTATTCCACTAACCAGGTATATTTTACGTATTTCTGGAAGGTGTTAATATTTCTTTGGATCCTGTTCTGAGACTGTTGTCGGTCTTAGTCGGTGGTTCTTAAGGCTTTTTATAACCACTTACAAAAGGTGGTCCTCCTGGGTTGTTACCCTCGCTCAGGTACCGCCAGATGTGAGCACTTATGATATTTATTTATTTGTACCTTTAAAATAATTAAATGAATTTCACCGGCGGTCTTTAGAATACAATGCAATGGTAAAATTCTATGGTCAACAAATAACAATATCTGCCAACTTTTCAAAAATTTACAGTTTGGAAATGAGTTCTCTTAGAGAAAAACCTCAAGAAGTATCCAGTTTCAAAATTCTGGATTGATTAATTAATTTATAAATTTAAGTAATAAAATAAAACTTTGTGTACATTAACACAGAGGGAATATAATTAGAGATTTTTAGGCTCTTGTCGAGGGAAACAAATGGAAAATCTGACTGCCCAAAGAAAAATTTTAAAAATGAGGGTAGAAATGCTGGTTATTTCCCACACGCCTATCAAGTATGGATTGGAATGTTTTCCAGCAATTATTGATTAATGCAAACATGACCAGAATAATTACCTAATTAAATAATCATGTTGCCTGATTTCTTTAACAGATAGATTACTATAACAATATACAAATTAACTGTAAAAGTTACATCAGGTAAAATAATAATAAATGACACTGAGCAATAAGATTTTATTTTAGAAATTATTGTTTTGTAATTTATCCACTAAAGCTTAATCTATTAAGTGGAATTAAATTGTGCTTACTAATTACTACTTAAGTAACAACACAGTCTTAATTACTAATTGATCTAATATTATGTACGTTGCTGTTGTCACCATGTAAGCCAAGGAGGCTGCTTCCATTCGTTCAAAGGCACATAAGTAACATTCACAGGAATATTGATTAAGGCATACTTCATGTTAAGTTTATGCAGTATTTTCCGTATAACATACCTAAATAAACAAAACCATTGAATGAAAAGACATTACACAAGTCTTGATAAATCGATAAAGAGTAATTTGATAGAACATTACTTCATAAAATTTATAAATATTATATAGTTTTAAGTTTTTTTAAATTTTGCCATTGATCCTGTAGATTATAATGCATATATGCATATGCATATTAGAAACAAATTTTTTCCTGCAGTGATAAGTTTAATAAATGGAGCAGTATTATGTTCCATATGATTATTTATTTAGTTCTGAGTTAATAATTTATTTCATAATAATGCATTTGAATAATACCATCTGAAAATTAGAATTGTTCTGAATCATAATATCTTCGTAATTGATCTTCTTATATACACATCAAATTTTTTTTTTATCATAAAGGATTAAAGTTATTGACCTAACATAATTAATGTATTTATAAGTTATAAATATCATACCGTATCATAAGATAGAATTACCAAAAAACACCGGGACATATTAAATACTAAAACAGAGGAGATAGTATCCCTTAAATGTCCAAATAAAAAGAATCTGAACACTATTATGTTTTAAATTGTGAGTTGTAGGTAAAGTTGGAGAAAATATAATATAATGAAAAGTCAAGCATGTCAACTAAATTAATAAAAAAATATATGTATAATGATTTGAAACATATCTCTACAAAACAAAAAAAAATAGATAGAAGTCAGACCACTATTAACAAAGATGCAGAAGCTTTACTTGACTTCATACACATGTTTAGGTTTATTATTGTCGATAAAGAACCATTGTAAATGATCAAGAAAAATTATTTAAGCCCTTCCTAATAAAAATGTCTTGTATTTATTTATTTACATACCAGTTATATTACCATTTGGTGATTGCCTAATGCACAATTTGAATTAATCGCATGGAATAACTAGTTATTAATATTTTGTATTATTTTTACACTTCTTAAAAAATCTTTTTTTAAGGGAAAAAACACTGCAAATTAGTACAATGATTTATTATTTCCAAACAATTTAACATCAAAATTAACGTTACTTTTCATATAACATTGAGAAAAATAAATAAAAAAAGGATTCATAACATTGACCAATATAATTTTCTTTTTTATCATTGATAATTTGCTTAAAAATAGGCAACATTGCAACAGTTGAAGTCTTGAACTTTCAAAAAATCAAAAACCAAAACAAAAGATATAAGCAATGGAGTAGAACATATAAAATAACTAAAATGTATACTTCTTGAGTTATTCGGAAACATAATTTTACTACACCTCATAACTTTTTTCCAGCTTCTTTTCATTGAAGTACATTATAGATAAATTTAAAGTTAATCGAGGAGAAGACTTTAAAATTCATTGAAATTGGTACATTCTCTTAGGTGCTACAGTCTATACCAACACAGGTTTTTTGGCCATCATCAAGGAAGGAATGGGCGGATAGTAATGCCGAGGTAGGAAGACCATCTTCGGAAGACCTTTCACTTTGATTCCAAATTTGAAGAAAATCAGTCCAGTAGTCTCAGAGAAAAAAAAAATGTGGACGGCGGAGGGACAAAAAAATGTTTATTCGATTTTCTAGTTGTACATATCGTGAAATGTGAAACCTCAAATTTTTTATTTTTTTTTGACAATTACAATGGATCATTATTGAAAATAATAAACCAAAATAATAAGAAGTCAGTTTTCTTGAATCAACAGTACCAAATCTTGACCACAATTAGTAGGCAGCCTGATGGGAAACTCATGCCACATTAGGTTGAAATTAACATTATATTTTTTCACTTATCCTCTGATATAACTTAAACAAGCAACTAATTGTTCTTCTTTGTATAGAATAAACCTTTAGAAAACCATTCAATTTTTTTTTTTTTGTCTGCACTAGGATTTAATTAGATCAATTGAGTCCTAACTTTAAATATTGATATCAATTTCTCTCATCATAAAGAATATTAACACTAAATAATAAATATTGTTGACCGATGTATAATAAAAAAATAATTTTAGAAGCCAATCTAATTAATTTCATATTACTTAAAGTGTTCAGTAATAAATTTCAAACAGAATAAACTTGAAGAACAAAAAAATTTTCATTGCTATCACATACGGAATTTTAATAAAACAATATTTTTAAGTAATTACTTTTTGTTCCACTTTGTTTTGAGTTAATTGTTTAATCACTTTCTTCCTCTTTTTATTTCCTAGAATAAATTATTTAATCACTTTTCTTCACTTTTTGTTTCATAGATTAAATAATTTAATCACTTTTCAACACTTTCTGTTTTATAGAGTAAATTATGTTATCACTTTTCTCCTCTATTCGATTTGACAAGAGAGCAGTATTACTAATAACTAGTAGGTTTATACTTTTTGAAAAATTAAACAATACTTTTTTTAAAATTTAGTTTATCCAACTTTGCATTCTACTGACCCATTTTTTCCTAAAAGAAATGTTGCTGGTATATTCGTGTTTCTACCAGTTAAGTCATCAATCATTTCTGTAAAATACTCATCACTTTCTTTGTTATCTGCTATTATCACCGCTCTTGCTCCAGCCTCCTCTGCTCTGATAGTTTTACTTAAAAAAGAGCAATACCTAAAAATAAAATAAAAATATTTTCATCTTTTATCTTTTTCATATAAAAAATAAAAAAAAGATTTAGGAAAAAGTTAGAGATAAACGTATTCATGAATAAAAATAATAATAATTAAACAAAACACTTCTTATAGAAAAAAAAAAATTGAATTTGATCATCCATTGAATTAGATATAAAGGACTACCACATTGCTCATTCAGATTACTACTTATTTCAGTCCATGCATGGGATATACAGAATGTTCCAATGACTGAGTGCACACACATTAAAGGTGTGTTGCTGATGCCCTAGGGGAAAAAAATCAAATAAATATATGTCCAAAGTAGGGTGGCTACACTACTGTAAGTAGCCCTACTAAATACCCCAAGGGCAGCTGATGAACACAGTTGCTGGGGTTTTTACATTCACCCAGGTCCCCTGAGTACATCCTACAGTTCATAACAAACAATCCTAGCACACAATTCCACACCAGCAGCATTTTTAGGTTGACCCTATTCAGGATGATCAGGCTGAAAATACTAATATCCATCAAAAATTGATATCGATGTGTTACCTCGGAATAAAGCTGCACCAGGTGGAAATCTTTGACAGCTTCCTTCAGGTAATGGCAGAGCAAGTGGCACCACTCTGTTGCTAAAGACCACAAGACTACAAGGGCCAGTAACTATTTCAAGATAAAACAAGCATGTAGGAGACCAGAGTTTTTAAGCCTGAATTAGGTGACACAAAACAGTGGATTAAATAAAGTTGGGACTGTCAGGGCGGAATGCACTTTCCTTTACTGAGATGTTTATGCTCAATGATATGTGCAAATATCGCTATCGGATCAATCCATTTGAAATCACCCTATTTGAATTAATTTTGTTCCTCTACATTTTTTGTTTTTATAATTTTTTACCAGTTATTCCATATTCATTTGAGAGTTCAAAGCCATAGTTAAAAAATTTTTAAGGATCACAGGTGTTTATCAGCAGCCATTTTTTTGTTTTATTTTCGATTGATAACATGTTTTGGGAAAATGCCTGTAACACAGGTTATTTTGTAGATATCAAGCCAAAAAAAAAAAAACTGAAATAGTTTAGGGTATTTTTTTTTATAAATTTCAGTTGATCAATACATCACCTAAAAAGAAAGGAAAGTGGTTTAAAAAAAACATGAAAATATACACAAAAAGTGACTTTTAGGGCTGCAAAAGTGAAATAAAGAAAAGAGCCTCAACTTTATTTTTTCATCACATGTATCCCTACCACTGTACTTCTTGCTGATGAAATTTGAATCTTGAAAATCTTGTCCTTTTTTAAATATGAATTTTTAAAAAGGCTTAAAAGTCGTTTTCGTCAATTTTTAATTTTAAATATCACAAAAGGGACTGAGTGAAAAATGATAAAATTGATGCAGTTTATACCTCTAAATGAAAGGAATGTGTGATACGAATTTGACCATGGAGAATCAAATGGTTCTATTAGTTATAGCGCAACAAATATGGCTACATAGCGTGAGCCTGTATCAGCGTATCCTACCTACTATAACTGTGCCATTTTTGCAGATATCAAAACAAAACAAAAACTAAAATTATTATGTTTTACTCTAATTACTTTGTCCTCTAAATATATCTCATAAGTAGTGAGCAAAGTTGTTACAAAAATTAACAACTATAAAATTAAAATTAACACAAAAGGAGACATTTAGAGCAGCAATTCTGTAATAATTAAAAGAGTCTCAACTTTCACCTTTTTTTTTTCATATGCAGTCCAATAAGTGTACTACTTAATGAAGAAATTTCAATCTTGAAAACCTTGTCCTTTTTTAGATATGAATTTTCAAAAATGGCCAAAAGTCATTTTTTGTGATATTTGAGTTTGAATATCATAGAAGGGACTGAGTGGAAAATGATGAAACTTGTACATTTAATAACACTTTTTAATAAGGACACATAGAACAAATTTAATGAGTGAGACTTAATCAGCTCAAGAGTTATATTGTATCAAATGTGTCTGGACATTGTGTTATTTAAACAATAAATCAGCATATGAAATTGAGGCACCAAATTGAATTTTAGTTATCATTACATAAATTCTATGTTAGATATATAAGGTTTTGCTGCATCAACAGCTACTTTCACAGATAAATATAACCACCTCAACAGTGAACTATATTTGTGACCTTAACCTTAACAACTTTATTTGTGATTAGATGGAAACACAGTTTTAAAAATCATTGATATGGTTGTGTAATATTTACTTTTGAACCCAAACTTGATTCTATCCAGCGTTTTCATGTCGAATTCCTTAATAACGAATAAAATCTATTTATGTTATAATACATTTATAGATTATATTTAAATTTATATTATAAATAAATATAAATTTATTTTTAGTTATAACTAAGTATAAATAACTTAGTAGTAAAAAATTTTTATTATGTAATAAAGAATTTAATAGCAAATAATCGTGAATAGAAACAATTTCAGGTTTTGAAATAAATATCAATACACACATCAATGATTTTTAAAACAGTATTTTCCCCCAATCACAAATACAGTTGTTAAGGTCAAAGTTCACAAGTTTGCTAACACTGCTAAATTAATGTTTTGAAAGTATCTTCTAATAATGTTGGCTTGGGTGGGACTATTTTTCTGTCAGCATTAACCTGGCAACAGAGACCAAGAGGAGCTTGAAGGATGAAATGGATCCAGGCATATCTTTTGCCAACAGAATTAGAAACAGATAAGACAGGATATCTAGGAACAATTCAACAGTATTGGCAAGAATCATAGCCTGACTAATGAGCTTGAATGCAAACTATATAGGTGATATTTATTTATGATATACCCAACATCCTTCATGTTTTTATATTATTTATTTTTAATATTTCGAATTCAGCAAAAAGAAATCTAATTGCATCAAATGAAGTGTTAATTTTCGGGAGCGAACATATGAATGGGTTTAATAAATTTTTTCAATTATTTAAAATATATTTCTTAAATTTAATAGAACTTTCTAATAGAAAATATTTTTCATAGCCTATGCATAAAATATAAATATTCAATAGGAATTTCATTTGTATTCTGAAAACTCGACTATTTAAAAAATGGGACAAGGTCTTGAAAAGCAGTCAGTAATTTGAAAGTGTAGGAAATTTGACTTGGTGCATTAATAATCACAATTTATAAAGGAGAATCAGCCCATGTTACATTTATCATATACCATTATGCCATAGCATATTATTAATAAAAGTTCTGTCCTAATTATTTTTTATTTAATAAATTGTTCTTATATTCATATATATTAATCTCATCTCTGAAAATGACACTTTTTTTTCCTTTCTTCTCTCTCTCTCTCTGTATTTTTTAATTTAACTATTTGTAAATATTTAACTTAAAGTATAGCCAAACTGGTATATACTTTGCATTTATAGTTTATTCTAAAGGGACAACAGTCCCAGTATAATAAAAAATAATTTTATTTCATTTCATAGTTATAAAAATATAATAGTTCAAAATAAAACACAAACAAAATATTATTTAAGGAAGTTTGTTGACTGTTCTACATATCATGGGTGATAAATATTCAGGACGCAGTCATTATAAAGTTTTTATTGATGGCAACGTTTCAACCCAAAAATGTGGGTCATCAGGGCGTTTCGAGCACTGAAGATATAAGGTGGGCCAGTACTTGAATACCTTCAGTGCTAGAAACACACCCTGATGACCAACATGTTAGGGTTGAAATGTCGGCATCAATAAAACTTTATAATGACTGCCTCCTGAATATTTATCACCATAACAAAATATTTGTAAACTTTAAATAGATCATTTTAACAATAAAAATACCAGATAAAATTAATATGAAATCATAGTACTTTTTCAAAATAAATTAAAAGTATTTACCCTCTCTCTATTAATGCAATGTTTCCTCGTATTTCATGAGCATTAGAGGGCCAAACACATCCATTAGCTGGTTGCACAGGAACTAAACGTATGTTTCTCTCAACAAAACTTGCATTCTAAGCAGAGATATTTTTTTACTTTTAATGATTAAACAAAAAAAATAAAAATAATGATAAACGTGAAACTGAAATACAGATCTCGATTACTTACAAAGGATGGACCAAAATTTTTAGCAGGACGTGTTCTGTAAGTATATCGCAAATCTTCAGGCTCTAAAATTTCAAAAAATATATCTTGTCCTATCAGCTCAACAGATATTGAAACATCGACAACATTTATCAGAGAATCTAAAAACAAATGGTTTAACATATTAATAAAATGTTTAGGTATTTATATCCTTGGGAAATCAATAGCTAAAAGCACCATTGTACGTCCTAAATATGTTTTTTTTCAGTACAAGCTTAAGTTCGAAATATGTAATTTCTAACAGAAGATAAACTGCAGTAAATCAAATTATTTCAATCATTAAGCTGGTCATTAAAATTAAGAATTTGGTTTTTTTTTTAATTTGTAGTAATTTTAACATTAACTCAATTTTTATATTGTTTGTCCTACTTCAAAAATTTTAATTTATATTAAAATAAATCTTCCAATTGACATTAGGACACATAATGTTAGTCAAAAAAGTGAAATTAATAAAAGAGCAGTAATAAAATGACTGCACTTTCAAATTTTAGTTCCAAGTGGATAAACTCAACACAGGCAAACAGACAGACAGAGTGAGAAAGAGGTAATAGTCAGTTGGCCTTTTTTTTTAATTGAACATGTTTAAACAGATTAACTGTGAAATAGCTAGGCACTTGTTGCCAGTTCAAAATTTGAAATAGAATCTTATAGACAATTGTGTTTTCCAAGAATGAGTTATGACAACCTCAACATTGCAGATATAACAGATCTTTATTTCACAAAGCATATTTTATTTGTTGTTAAACAAATTCTTATTTAATTTTAAAGGATATTAGAATTATAGAGATTCAAAGGCATAAATTTAAATAATGTGAATATATATATATATTTATAAAAAATAAATAAATTTACATATATATGATAATAAAATATTACAATATAAAATTCAACAGTTATTAAATAAGGTTGTGTATATACAAAAATAATGTACAACTTTTGATTATTTAAGAAAGTACGAAGATGGGACAGTAGTTATTTGAGGTTCAGGTAAGGTGCTTCTTTTGAAACCTACAGATCTACTAGTTTTCTTTGCCAAATGCTTAGCAGAGTCGGATGTTTTTTTCTTATTTGGTTCACTTGATTTGGGAGTATCATTCTTAAGATGTTCAGTTGATACTGGCTCTCTTAAATCTGTTTGGGGTGACATTTTACTAAATGGTGGAGTGTTTTCAACATCATCGAGCTGTTTCTGATAATCATGATTTGTGTTTTCAACAGATGATGATGTTTTGACAGAAAATGGAATGGTATTACACATATTGACTTCACCATTTCTAAACTGAGGAAAAGGAGTGGAAGTCGGGCCAGAGATTAGACCATTCTGAAGAGTGGCACAAGTAGGGCTATTTACTAATTTACTCTGCTCTGAAAGCCTTCGATTTAACCAATCAATAATTCTCTCATTTTCTTTTATTTTCTTATCTTTCACATTAATGGTTGAATTCAAATCACGAAGAGAAGATTTTAATGACTTTTCTGTCTCTAAAAGAGATTGTATCTTTTTCTCTTGAGAAATAATTGATTCTTCAAGCTTAGTTATTTTCTTTTGACTGGTCTCAACTACTTTTTCTTGTTCTAATGCAATGACAGTACGAACTTTTAATTTCTGATTAATTAAACTTAATTCTTTCTGAATTTTTGTTATGATTTCATTTGCTTTAACTAGTTCATCTGAAAGATTTTGGATTGTTGTCTGTTTGCGCTGGATATTTTTTTCCTTTTCATTAATAACCTCCTCAAGTCGATTTTTCTGTTCATTTGCAGAATTTAATAGTTCTTTTTGTTTATTCAATATGACACCCATATCTTTTGATTCTTGTTCAGCCACTGCTAGTTTTGTCTTCAAATTATGAACTTGCCTATCTTTATCGTGATAATCACTGTCCAACTTGGCGTTCTGTTTTCTTAATGACATTATATCTCCCCGAAAGGCAGAAACTTCTTTTTCAAGACTATCTATTCGTCTTGCTTGTTCAACAAGAGTAGAGTCAGCAAGAGTACGTTTTTCTTGCAAAATTTGATTCTCAATGCGCAATCTAGATAATTCTGATTCTTTCTCTTTGAGATTTGTTTGGTATTTATCTTCCAATTCATTTCTTTCCCTCTGCGATTTAATCTGCCATTCCAATTGTGCTTTCCTCATTTTTTCAGTTTCTTCAGTGAGTTCTTTAGTGCTCTCTGCTTTAAAAGCTAATCTTTCTTCTTTCCATTTATGTTTGATTTCCTGTAACTCATGCTCTTTACTTTGCAAACACTTATTTTTAGCAAATAATTGGGATTCCAGATCACTGATGCATCTTTCAGCCTTTACATTTTTATCTTTTAAAACTTCAATCTTTTTTAACATTAACTTCTTGATATCATTATCATTACCAGCTTCAATATACAGAACCAAATGACAAAGGTGTTTAAAATTGTTAGTTTCAACAATTTTTAATGACGTTTGATGAAAATCCCCTCCATTTTTCTTGTCTTCTTCAAGCAGAAGAAGAAACTTCGAGTCATTTGATTCTTGTTCTTTACATTGTTCAAGAAGTCTGATAACTTGAGTGGGAAAACTATCAAAATCTACTAAAAGCCCTTGGAGTTGTTTCAGTCTTTGATAGTTCTCCTCAGTCAAAACAAGGGAATAATAATAAAACGGATCTTCATCATCACTAACTTGTATACTTAAAACTTGTTTTGAAACTTTACTCTGATTTTTTATAAAATCAACTGTAACACGGAGGTGTTTAATTTTTTCTTCACTCTGAACGTTTCTTATGAAGAACTTCTGAATGCTAGAATATAACGGTTCACCGCGTGAAACGTCTAAATTATCAAGCACCATTTTAACACTTTTATCCACATTACATGCAACACAAAAGGAGTACTTCACTGAAGGTCAAAATTACTAACTAAAGAGAAAAGAACTATTCAATATCAACCACATGTTATCAACAGATAAATAAACAAATCAAATCCAAACATGGGTAAGCTAGGTGTATTCTAACCTCAATTCAACTTACCGACTTGTTTTAGATTAATTCCAAAACACAAAAAATGGAGTATTGCGAAGTCCAGGAAGCTAAACCCCATTTAAAATTCTTTAAATAAAAACAAAGACTCATATTCAAATGAATCCTAATCCATCACATGATTCGTATTGTCCTGTTGACAACTGATAGCAAACAAGTATCCTACTATAATTTTCGATTCTTCGATTCTTAATCGCTTTTGTCCATATCATAAAATTCTATAGAAATTAAAGTTCACTTTCTACAATATATTTATTATTTAGCAGAGAAAATCACTGTTTAATAATACTGACAGCACTCTCTGTAAAACAAAACATGTATTATCATTAAAAACGATAAGTTGGTAATTGTCGTCTCCTAAGTGATGAAATAACAGTTTACATCTATACAATCAGCTAATTTACATCGGAAAATGGTACGTACATCAATTTAACTTTCAGTTTTAAAAAGATTATGGGCACATATCATAATAAAACTCAAACGTCAAAGTTCCTTGTAGTAATAAAACCGGAAATGTCGATGAAGTATTCTTTTTAAAGAAAACCACATGCATTGATTGCCATATTGATGTACAAAATTACTTATATGATTACTTCTTAATCACTTGCATTTATTTTAACTTAAGGGACAGAAAAAGAAAGGAGGTAAGAGTAGCAAAGGAGGAAAGGGGACAGGAGGTGTAGTTGATGGAGTACCAATGGCAGATATGAGTAGAGAACAATTGGAAAAATTCACGTTGAGGATAAAAGATGAACTCGAAAGGGAAAGAGAAGAAAGAAATTTCTTCCAACTGGAGAGGGATAAACTAAGAACATTTTGGGAAATAACGCGTCAACAACAAGATGAAAGCAAAGCTGAAATTAGGTACAAAACTTTTATATTCATTTTAAAAGGTAAATATAAATTTTAAACCGATTTACTTTAAATGCAAACTTTTTTAGCATAAATGTGGTATCTCAAATTTTGATACGCCATCTCCCATGAAAAACCGATTATTGTACCAACGTTCTTGGAGAGGATCGATATCCCTGCTCGGTTAGTCGTTTTAAATATTTTTTAATTTGAGTTCTACTAATGGGTAGTTTCTCTTCATATTGTACATGCCATGTTACCAATGTCACATTTACTTGTATTTTTCATGTAATACAGTTGTAAATTTCATTCACAAAAAAAAAATATATATATATTTATGAAGAGCAGAAGTTTTGAGAATGATAAAACTTATTGTTGCGGTTTACTTTTGTAAAGAAGCAGTGCCGGTCTTCGGACCGGGTCTTCAACCTGGAGGGAGGCGTCTGTCAATTTTTTGGAATTAAACCCGAAAAAAAGAGTAGAACATTTTCTTTTCATGCATCCGCTTCACCGAGGAGAAAGGAAAAATCGGAGAATTTGTATGCGAAATTGTTCACCAACTCAAGTAAAACATAAAAAAAATCTGGTGTGGGCAACACCAAACTTTCACTTATCCCTCTACTTCGACTAGAAATTATTTTCTGGCAATGTTGGGGTATCATAAAATTTTTGAAGTGTATTTTAAACGGAGCTTAAGCTTAAAGCTTACAGACAACAAATCATTAAGACCATTAAAATTACAAAAAGCCTATTTATTATATTGACAGTAGGCAACAAAAATCTACTTTTATAAACCACACGACTTCAGTCTCTGAGCCTTTCAATTGACAGAATGACTAACTCCGATTTCAACATTTTTGATTAATGTCATTTTAGTGATATTTCTAGTTCAAAAAGTTGTATCTATACAGACAGTAAGTCGATTCAAGAGTAGTTGATTGCAGTTTTGAAATATAGAATGATAAATAAAAATAAAGGTATCCATTTTGCCACTTGAAACATCACTAAAATTAATAATAAACAATGTTGAAATTTGAGTAATTCATTGTGTCAACCGAAAGAAGGCTCATACATGCCTAGATTGATTTGAAAATATATCTGAATATTTAACCTATAAATGATTATTAATTATAGGATTATTAGTTATTAAACTATTATTTTCCATTGTAAAGTTTACTAAAATGAAATTGCGAGATTTTCAGTGTCTGCCATGAAAACGTCAAAAGTTGTCCCCCTAATTGCAAATGGATAATGTTGGAATTTCACAAAGGGAAAATTAGTCAAATTATTTACTAATTTAATTTTCTAAAAGGTTACTTGATGATTTTTTGTGATAAATGGCCAATAAATATCTAATTATTTAAATATATTATCATATCTTTTTTTATTTTTTTGTGTGTTTTCCCCTTCCTCGCCGTTAAGGCTATACGGGGTTTTCGCGGGCCAGGGGGTGTGGGCGGGCATTTAATAAACTTCCTCAGCACCGGGACGCGAACTCGTGACTAATTTTGAATTTTTATCATTTGAATCATATATCAAGTTGCCGGGCAACGGAGGTGTTGTGCACACGCTTTAGGGCCATTCGGCCTCCCCGCCCATGTGATTTACGTGAAATAATGTTATTTTCAGAAATTATTATTTATATTTTTTTGTCACTCCCCGTTACTTCTACAACTTTATTTATTTGATATTATTTTTTCTGAACTTTTCGGCTTCCTAACGATATATTATGCGCATATCTTCTGATTATTATTTCCGGAGATTCATTTTCAACCTGGATAAGCATTTTCTTTTTTTCTCCAGTTTTCAATCATGAAATTCTTTCAAACTTAATATTTAGCCATTTTTTATAGTTACTTGAGAGTTAATTTGTTAAAATAAGCCATATTAAAGGTATTTTAGAGGAAGACCTACATGAACTTTGGGCATTTAAGCACTGTAAAGTGATATTAATGGGGATAAGACCTAAATGATATTAAAGACCGCTTAATTATACAATGATACACCGAGTTTAATCAAAATCGTTAGAACCATTTTTGAGAAAATTGTAAAAATGTGTTTCAGCGTTGATATAAAGTGGGATTTCCGGTTAGCCGATTTTAAGGGAAAAGTTGCTGTCACATCTAAGGCATACACCTATCTTAAATACGTAATATCAGTTTCGTACGACATTTCGTTTTTGAGCTAGACTGTTCACATGTACATAGACACACAGACTCACGGACCATTTTCCGGGACTTGGTTATTTGGACAGTCTGAGCATGAGAGTCCGAGTCTGAGTCTGAGTCTATGTCTGGTTGTGTGTATGCATGTGAACAGTCTAGCTCAAAAGCGAAAAGTCGTATGAAACTGAGATTACGTATTTAAGATAGGTGTATGCCTTAGATGCTACAGCAATTTTTTACTTAAAATCTGCTAACCGGTAATCTCACTCACTAGCTGATCCAGGATTCAATTTTGGGAGGGCTTCAGCCCGAAAGCTTTTTTTTTCATAAAAATGGCGATAATTACCTTGGAAAAGAAGAAAAAAACTAGCTATCTATATGAAATGGTGTTTAAGTGATTCCTTAAGTCCTTTTAAATGTAATTACACCAATAATAATACTTTAAAGAGATAATTTTTTAATATATTTTCCCATAAAACATAGTTATATTTTATCATTTTGGGGGGGGGCTTCAGCCCGAAAGCCTCTCCCCCGTAGATCCGCCCGTGATCTCACTTTATATCAACGGTGAAACACATTTTTACAATTTTCTCAAAAATGGTTCTAACGATTTTGATGAAACTCGGTGTATCATTGTATAATTAAGCGGTCTTTAATATCATTTAGGTCTTATCCCCATTAATATCACTTTACAGTGCTTAAATGCCCAAAGTTCATGTAGGTCTTCCTCTAAATTACCTTTAATATGGCTTATTTTAACAAATTAACTCTCAAGTAACTATAAAAAATGGCTAAATATAAGTTTGAAAGAATTTCATGATTGGAAACTGGAGAAAAAAAGAAAATACTTATCCAGGTTGAAAATGAATCTCCGGAAATAATAGTCAGAAGATATGCGCATAATATATCGTTAGGAAGCGGAAAATTTCAGAAAAAATAATATCAAATAAATAAAGTTGTAGAAGTAACGGGGAGTGACAAAAAAAATATAAATAATAATTTCTGAAAATAACATTATTTCACGTAAATCACATGTTTCAAAGAAAATTAAATGAAAATTTCTTACTAAATGTTAACTTATAATTTTTTCTAAGTTTGAAAAGAAAAATATTTAAAATCCACCGCATAAAGCCAATGTCATTGTTTAAAATAATAGTTCATTGTACTTGTGTGAAACAAGAAGTGAAATATAAAAATATTTCATGGATATGTTTATAACCTTAAATACATTTACTGTAATTTAATAACTCTAGATATGATAATTTATTTAAATAATTAGGTATCTATTAGTCATTTATCAGAAAAAATCATCAAGTAACATTTTAGAAAATTAAATTAGTGAATAATTTGATGAATTTTCCCTTTGTGAAATACCTACATTATCCACTTACAATTAAGGGGACAATTTTGACCTATCCATGGCAGACAATGAAAATCTCTTAATTTCCTTTTAGTAAACTTTACAATAGAAAATAATAGTTTAATAACCTATAATTGATAATAATTTATAGGTTAAATATTCAAATATATTTTCAAATCTCTCTAGGCATATATGAGTCTTTCGGTTGACAGAATGACTAACTCAAATTTTAACATTGTTTATTATTAATTTTAGTGATGTTCTACTGGCAAATTGTATATTTTTATTTTTATTTACAGTTCTATATTTCAAAACTGCAATCACCTACTCTGGAGTCAACTCGCTCACTGTCTATATAGATACAACCTATTTAACTAGAAATATCACTAAAAGGACATAACTCAAAAATGTTGATATTGGAGTTGATCATTCTGTCAACTGAAAGGCTCAGAGATTGAAGTTATGTTAGTAGTGTGTTTATTGTGTGAAAATTTGTATGAAAAACAGATGGAGTTAGTAGATTTCTATTGCCTACCGTCGATGTAATAAATGGACTTTGGTAATTTTAATGGTCTTAATGGTATGTCATCTGTAAGCTTTAGGCTTTTGCTCCGTTTAAAATAATTTCTATTGAAAGTAGAGTGGTAAGTGAAAGTAGTGTGTTGCGAGCACTAGATTTTTCTTATATAGGTAAGTGAAAGTAAAAATCTGGTGAGCACACAACTTTCTATACCGCTCTACTTTCAATAGAAATTATTTTCCTAACTTAATTATTATGTTTTAGCACATACATTTATTAATCCGCATCTGTCAATTACAACCATCGACAATCAGCAGATGAGATGTCTTAATCATGAGAAAAATAATAAATATATAAAAAAAAATAGGCTTAATAGGCTTGAGGAACAGCAATACCCAGCGGCATCCCTTCCATGGCTTTTACTTACATGATTATGTAAGTAGATCCCTCAGATCCTTTTCAGTAGACTTCTGTATTTCTTTGGCATAATAGTTGTGGCCATTTCTTTTATTAGCTGGTTGGTGTGTCCATGCAACTAATTATGAAATCGTTTGTAGTAAGTTCGTATGTGTTCATTGATCGTCGGTATGTGTAAGTCAGTGTGTAAAGTGTTGTTATTAACGTACCAGGGTGCTTGGGTAGTTGGTCATCTTAGACTGAAAAGTTTAAAATAGTTTTATGTGTTGGTTTTGCAATCCCATATATTTATAGTCCATAAGTCCACTGAGGTTTTAATAGATATGTATAAATATTTAATTTCTGTTTTTCTTTTAATTTGGAATGTCGTCTTAATAATGAGTGCAACACTTTTAGTCTTTTATTTAATGAAGCTCGGTGTTTTTTTACAGGTGGACCCCATGACATTCTTCTATCAAACGTCAGACCAATGTATTGTACTCTGACTGTTGATGGAATCGGTATTTTGTCTAAGTATACAGAAGGGCATGTTTCCAGTCTTAGATTAAAT